CATATGTAATTTCATGATCTGAGAAAATACTTAGAGCATGTATGATTTCTTTTCATTTTCAGTTTCCAACTTTTATGAGGAAATAGCTAAAATATCTCTAGCTTTATGAAAGCCATATGTATTTTATATTTGTAATCAAATTTTTAAATATTTATTTGCTTTTTTGAAAAATTAAAACCTGACTTGTATTCAAAATTATCTTATTTTACTGTCATTTTTTTCTATATCAGATAACATTATGAAATTGTACCAATACCTTTAGAAATTAAGGCAAAAATATCAATATTTTTCAATTAAGATTTTAAAAGTAATATAGAAAGAATAAATAACAGGTATTACAATCTCACAGATTGCCATTTTTTAACCTGAATTTAATTGGTAAGAGATGACTAGAACTGACTTGTCAAAATTAGAATTGAAGTGCTTATTTCCTGATTCCAATCCTTGGCTGTTTTTACTAATATGTGATGGCCTAAATATTAGTGTACACTTCATTTGGTATACTACAGGAAAAATATTGGTATGATAGAACAGGAGAATGAAGTGATCACAGTTTTATTTCTAGAAAGGTAAATTTGTCTGAAGGAAATATTGAAGTAGTTAGAAATTGAAAGTAGGATAATACTTATGAAACATTTGCCGTAGTTGATAAAGAAGGAATGATAATCAAAACAAGGGTGGTTCAGTATGAAGGGATAGAAACAACAGATTGAGAAGATCTTGTAGAAATAACACCTATGGGATTTGATAGGAAATACTTTAAAATTAAGTTTATTCAACCTAAGTGACTGGAATGATAGGTGCTAATAGAAAGACAAGGCCATTTGGGAGTGACCATGAGTATAGTATCTTGGATGTAGTTAAGTTATATCGAAAACAACTTCATCTTTTCAAGGCCTCCTCTTAAGTTTTATTAGATGATACTAGAGCATCATAATTTGTGAGCATAGTTTTATGCTATTACTAAGACAATACTTTCTGAGTACTCTGTACAGTGCTTTGTTTATTGCAGGCATTTGGTTTGGTTTGGTTTGGTTTCAGTTTGGGTTTTAGTTTTTTATTTTTCTTTGTGAACTGGCCTGTGTAAAAAGAAACTACCTTGGCTTTATATGAGTCTGGCAATTTTTGCCTCTGATCATTTTAAATAGGTCCCCACTTTATGTAGTTTCCTTATATAGATGTCTTTTTTGGTATTCAACAGTTTTTGAGGGGAACCCTATGCAATTCTGGAGCTTTCTCTCTAAACAGCTTTCTTCTGTCTAAAATTATGAAGATTCTAGCCACCTTGACTTCCTCACTCTCCCAACTCTGCCTCCTTAGCTCAGGACAACCATCAAGCTCTTCCTGGCTTTTTCCTTCCTCTAATGGCCTAAAAACTCTTTGCAGAATGTCAGTAAGCTGACATTCTGGACAGTTATAGGTTTCATTTCATGTATTTCCTCTCTCAGGCATTACTCTACATGCTAATATCCTAGATCTTCAAATTGTTGTTTCATATATTCTAATTTGTATGCATTTCAAGTGGGAGGGTAGATCCGATTCCTATTCCATCTTGTTCAGAAGCACAATCCCTCTATAGAGCTTGATGAAGTTAATAATTGCAGAGGATAGAATGGGGTGAAAGATACTATTAGTTAATTGCCGAACTAATTTGGCAAATATTCTTAGTGACAATTGGCTTTCCTCAAAACAATAGCAAATAATATAATTGATGTTATGTTTATAAAAGGAAGATTGAATAATAGTGATGAAACTAATCTCTTTTAATTTTTTAATTTAAATTTTAATCAAAGGTGAAGATTTAGGGTGAATAATTTGTATTTTGTTAGATATTACTGTTTTCTACAGTTCATACTTGTTACTATGAAGACATGTATGTCTTTCCCTTTTTGAATTTGTAATGTCTCTAAAAAGAACTATCTACATTCAACTTGTGTAAATGATGATGTGGAGATCAATAGCCTTTATTTACAATAATACTTATGTTTTAATGAATTATATAATTGAATAGTTATTGACTGGCATTTTGATAGCATAGGTACTCTATTGTGTGCAATGTAAAGACAATATGCAACTCTACTCATAAATTTATAATTAATGGATACCAAAAGAATATTTATTTAAGCTCTATAGGAAGTCCAAGTCTTTGTTTAATAGTATCCTGTATTTACTCACACAGTAAAATAAACTTCATGCTTTTTTAGATTTTTCTGCAAATTATTTTTGGTTTTTAAAACTTGCTAGTGACAGTCCTAGTTTGCGACCGATCAAGCTATATAACTCCTTGGTATTTATCCTAAGGAATTAAAGTTCACAATGACACATGCATACCCGTGTTTATAGCAGCACAATTCACATTTGCCAAACCATAAAACCAGCCTAGGTGTATAGCAGCACAATTCACATTTGCCAAACCATAAAACCAGCCTAGGTGACTAAGAGCAGGGGAAGATGAAATAAGACATCATCTCAAACCATGAAATAGAAAAGAAGGGGTGAATATGTAGAAGAATGAAACTAGACCCGTATCTCTCACCCTGCATAAAAATCAACTCAATGGATCCAAGACCTAGGAATTAGAACAGAAATTATGCAACTCTTAGAAGAAAATAGAGGTTCAACACTCTAGCATATAAGTACAGGCAACAACTTTCTCGAAAGAATCCCTACAGTTCCGGAAATAATGCCATAAGTTAATAAGTGGATGGCATCAAATTAAAAAGCTTCTGCACAGCAAAGTAAACACTTAGGAATGTGAATAGAGAACCTCCAGACTAAGAAATCTAGCTACTCTTCTTTTAGTTCTCTAATATCTAGAATATATAAAAAATTCAAAAATTTCACACCAAAAACTCATATAACCCACTATTTGACCTAGCTATTCCCCTTCTCAGACTATACCCAAAATACCTAAAAAGAGCATACTACAGGGACACAGCTACATTCAATGTTCATAACACAGTTCACCATAGCTAGATTGTGGAACCAACCTAGATGCCCTTCAATAGATGAATGGATAAAAAAATGTGGCATTTATACACAATGGAATATTATGCAGCACTAAAAAATAACAAGATCATGGCATTTGCAGGGAAATGGATGGCATTAGAGCAGATTATGCTAAGTGAAGTTAGCCAATCCCTAAAAAACAAATGCCAAAAGTCTTCTCTGATATAAGGGAGGTGACTCAAAGCAGAGTAGGGAGGAAGAGCATGAGAAGAAGATTACCATTAAACAGGGAAGAGAGGTGGGAGGGAATGGGAGGGAGAAGGGGAATTGCATGGAGGATGGAAGGAGATCCTCATCGTTATACAAAATACATATACGATGGTGTGAGGGGGAAGGGGAAAAAAGAGAGAAAAGTGTCACAGTAGATTGGGTAGAGAGAGGGGAGGGGAGGGGAGGGGAGGAGAGGGAGGGATAGAGAGGATAGCAGAATACAACAGACACTAGTATTGCTGTATGTATATACATGGCTGTATAACCAATGTGATCCTGCAATCTGTACACATGGAAAAATGAGAATTCACACCCTGTTTCTATCAAATGTATGATATGTCAAGATCATTGTATTGTCTTGAGCAACTAAAAAAAAAAAAAGAAATGGGCAAATGAATAAAATAGACACTTCTCAAAAGAAGAAATACAAATGGCCAACACATATATGAAAAATGTTCAATATCATTAGCAATTAGGGAAATGCAAATCAAAACTACACTGAGATTTTATCTCACACCAGTCAGGATGGCAGTCATCAAGAATACAAATAATAAATGCTGGAATGGGTGTGGAGAAAAAGGAACACTCTTACTCTGTTGGTAGGATTGTAAATTCGTACAACCACTCTGGAAATCAATGTTTAGGTTCCTCAAAAGATAGGCAAGGAACCATCATGTGACCCAGCTATATGACTCCTAGGTATTTATCCTAAAGAATTAAGATTATCACACTACAATGATACATGCATGTTTGTAGCAGCACGATTCACATTTGCCAAACTATGGAACTAGCTTAGGTATTCAAATGATTACCTTATAATCTGACAGTGGGTGAATGGATAAAGAAAATGTGATACACACACACACACACACACACACACACAATGGAGTTTTATTCCGCCATAAAGAAAAATGAAAATAGGTGGAACTAGAGACCATTATGTTCTATGAAATAAGTCAACTCAGAGGGTCAAAGGTCTTGTTTTCTCTCATGGGGAAGCTAGAGAGAAAAAGGAAAAGAAAGGTGGTGGGGACTCTCAGGAAAATCAAAGGGATTAAGTGGGGGTAGGTGAGAAGGGAGAGGAAAGTTGAGGGATTGATATTGGCCAAATTATATTGTTATATTGTATGCATGTATGATTATGTAAGAACAAATCCCATCATTATATACAACTGTAGTGCTCCAATAAAATGTATGCAGGAGAAAAGAAGGGGTTAATTTACTTTTCCTCTACCTTTGTTCTATTTAGTCCCTAAATAGATTGGATGATGCCCACTCAGACTGGGAAGATGATATATTTTATTTGGTGCACTGATTCAAATGATTACCTTATCTGGAAACACCATCAGTGACACACCCCAAAATATTATTTAATCATATACCTGAGTGGTCTGATCTAATCACTTTGCCACATAAGTTTTAACTATTACAAGAATCTTTAAAATCTCAGGGGTATTTTTGTGTAACTGAAAAGCGTACCTTTAAAAATAACATACTAGTATTGCACTTGAGTTAGCTATGATCTGGAGGGTATCCTCTGATCAAATGAAGGTATTCTGTGAATGATTCCTGAAGAAGTCATCTGTATTTGTAATATAGACAGATATTACAAAATAAAGTATTTGTGGCAATAATTATAGTTACCTGCATTCTTTTTTTATTTTAATCAATGGAATAGACCAAAACAGAATTTTTTTAACCATTCAGTTTAGTTTATTGGCAATCATTCTAATTTTGTCTTTCATTTCTTCTTTATCCATCCCCTGTACTCCTGCTCATAGCTCTATGCCATCCCTTGGTTCCTCACCATGTTTACTCGTAAGTATTATTTTTCCTCTTTTAGAATTGTATTAGCAAAAATACAGTTTTATTCTTCCCTGACATTTTATATTTGCAATAATATTAAGCAAATTTAATATGCATCCCCTATGTGGTTCTTGCATGATAAAGGTGAGTATAAAATAATTCCAATTGTTCTGACCCCTGAACATTAAAATGAGAATTGTATAGGTTGAAAATTTATTTTATATTTCATGGTATTCATTCAAGCTTTTCCCCCTTTGAAAACAGTATTTAACATCAATTATGAGGTTTATCTAAAGGTATCAGGGCTATATTTTACAACCAAATTAGGCTTAATTTCTAGAGATTCTATAATAACTCAGTTTTATTTTCTAAACTAGGAGGACTCCTAGAAATTAAGCAGATTATGTGAATGTTGTACTTTACTTTTAAATATTAATACAGTGAACATCCTTACTTAAATATGGTACACGTGATAAATGGAATAATATTTGGAATAGATCTGTATGCATGGGCCTGAGAAGATATCCACAATATTATTAAATGAAAAAAGGAGTTATAAAAATAGAAGACTGTTAAAAGGATATTTTTGATGAATATTTAATAGAGCAGGTGTTTATAATGCATAATGGAGATGTAACCTTACTGTATATAAAACAATTTTAAGGTTTATCTACATAAATAAACTTGTATAAATAATATAACGAATTCTGGGGAGAAATGTTATGAATTGTACATATATACCAATATTGATAAGTTAGAAAATGTCATCTATTTGACTGATATGATAATTAATTAATTTAAGGAGACCTTAGGAAGCTATAAGGTGACAAAACTAAATAAACATTTTATAAAAACGGTTTGTAATATTAGCTCCTAAAGAATAGTTTGGACCATAAAATAATACTGATATATCTAGTCAAGCAGGTTATTATTGTTGTTTATTTTAATTTTTAACTTAATTAATTTTTAAAAATCATTCTACAGATGTATTTCCACTGCACAAAATTTTCCACCTCTGGGATACTTTACTACTTGGAAATTCCTCTTTCCCATTCTGTATTGGAGTAGCAATTCTTCAGCAACTGCGGGACCGGCTTTTGGCTAATGGTTTTAATGAATGCATTCTTCTCTTCTCTGATTTACCAGGTAGAGGTCTAAATAAATGGAATAACTAAATGTAATTTAATTGTAAAATAATGAGATATTTTTAAGCCATTGTTTTATTTAGCATTTTTGTAGCTGTGACCAAAAGACCTGACAATAACAATTTTAAGGAGGAAAAATTTATGAGCGAGAGAGAAAGAAACTTTGCCCTTCAGGGTACAAATCAAACTTCAGTGGAATTCTGTCATATCATACAAGATAGTAAGTTAAGTTGTATAGCGTATTCCCAAGTGAGGAGTTTGTAAATCTAGGGGTTGAATACTTAAATGTAGACAAATGGATAGCAACTATACATTTGATGCTGTGGTTTAAAAAAAGAAAAAGAAAAAAAAAACTAACTTGGCTTTGAGGATGTAAGTAAATTTGTGAAAGTGGGGTAAAAAAGCTATTTTTGCAGAAATTGAAATATTTTTAGGTAGAAAAATTCTACTTTTTTCACAGTATTTCTTTGACTCCATTCCTTCTGCTTTTTGCTTTGCTGTCCTTCATATTTTCAGACAAGCACAAGTTACTACTGATAATAAACACACTTTAAATTACATAAGAAATAAATTTGCCTGAAAACCAAATAAATAGAGAAAGGTACTCTAAAGCTATCTGTATTAAGCCTCGAAAGGAATAAGAAACCTGCTTCCTATCTGCTTTTTATTTTTAGTGGATGATCTGTGTTTCATTCTGTATTATCTGTCTGTTGAAAATCTTCATCTTTTGGGGGGAAAATAGTAACAAAATGCCTTGGGGTAATTTAAAACTTTTCCTTTCTCCTGCCCCCAAAGCTAAAAATATCACCATCAGCTAATTTATCAAATTTTAATTAAAGTGTATTATTTCATATGTAAACAAATAATAGTTTAGTTCTTTAATTTTTTTCTGGGAAATTTTTTATGAAAATTGTCGAGTTTTTGTTATTGTGTTGTTTATTTTTGCTTTTGAACAGGAACAGAGAAGCTAGTTTCATAACCTAAGAATACTGTCTGTACCCTACAGATGTTTTCTTGTCATTCTCAACTTGCCAAAGTAAATAGAAGTTGATTGATTAGGATTAAAAGAATTTTTCTGGTCAGTTATAAAAATATGTATATTGAAAATGCTGATTTTGCATTTTGAAATAAAGCAAATTTAATGCCTTTCCTATTTCGTTTATAAGTATTTCCATTAAACACCAGTGAAGAAATCTGTTTTAATTTTTTATAGACAAATTAGTGGTAACCCTGCTTGCCCACTAAAAATATTATTTCTGAAATAATAAAACTATATACATTTGTTATAACTGAATAATTGAGAAAGTATCTCTCTTCCTTAACCTTTGAAAATAGGACACCTTCTTTGTACGTGAATTACCCTGATCCACAATGCCATTATTCTGGTCATTGTATATGATTCCTATTAGGGGAGAGAGAGGCTTCTAAGAAAAAATATGACCTCTTTCAAAAAGCATAAAGGTTTTCATTGCAAACTTGGTCTTTAAGTATATCTGTGTTTTGTTTTAATCACAGTGCATTTATTTGAGATAGCATTCTCAGGTAGGTTTTCAAAGTTGTCTTTTTTTTTTCTTACCCTCAACAATTCTTGAAGGAATTTGGAAGTGACCAGGGGAAATCTAAAAAACTGAATCTGGAGTAACCTTTTGCACACTAACATCTCAAAGTTTTAGATGATGTAAATGTAGAACATATGTGAAACAGATACGCTGTTTTTCTAGTCTACCAAGAAAGGACCAATAGGCTAACTGTATATTTCACTTCCAATTATTGAGACAGACTTTTTAGATAAAGTAAGGCTAAGATTAAGCATTAATTTGAACTCAGTAAATATGTTATGCTTTACTGAACTCCTACTTATCTGAGTTTAAATAATCAGTAAACAGAACAAATTTAACTCTGTTCTTTACTAAAGGAGATTGACAATCCACTGTACAAAATGTGTATTGACACTAATATAACAAAAAACAAAAAACACCATCCAGTTGGGAACCTTGTGAACATGATAGTCATCTTTTTTAGTTCTTAATAGTCTAGTTGTTAAGAGCATGAAATATGCAGTGATATCACCTAGGCTCAGATCCTGCCTCTACTACTTTCACCAGTGCAACCTTAGAGAAATGACTTAATCCTTTCATCTTTGATTATATGAGAATGATAATAATAAGTATTCTATGCATAGATTGTTGTATTAAGTCAGTATATCTAAAAAACTATATAAGTGACTATTATCATTAAGTCACTGTTGTTATAATTTTCCTCACTTTTTTCGTTCTAAATAACATACTTTCCTATTGGTAGTATAAATGAAGCAATTTCCCCAGTTGTCTTTTGTATAAATTAATGATCACACAGATTTGTTAGCAAAATCTAATGAAGAATTACCTGAAAAATCAAATAAGCTTTTAATGTTAAGTACACATTATTAGTAAGAAGACTATCTCTTTTCCTTGCTTATAGACAGCACAGTATAGTCAATAGAGAACCCAGGCTTGGGAGTCTAGACTGACATGGGTTTGAGTGTTGATTCCACCATTCACTACCTGTGTAAATTGGGAAACTGAGTGGGGTACTGCTGCTGAGAGAATATGGTCTATAGGGTGAGATAGGTATGAATTCATATCCCAGATATGACACATATTAGCCAGGGAAACTCTAAAATGTTATTGATTCTCATTGGAAACAAAAGTCCTGTACGTTGCAAAATTTTCAGTAAATGTTAGACGATAATATCTACTTTAGAGTTTTTGTGAGAACTAAAGATAATATATATAATGCAACTGGCAAAAAAACCTGATAGGCATATACACAAGTATTTTTAAGTATATGTAGCATTTAACATTTTAAATTTGTTAGGAATATATAACATAAAATTATACTTAAGTTCCATGTCCATTCGTCCTCCTTTTCTTCATTGAATACTACCTCTTTAATTTTTGTAGGGGAAACTCAGCAGAAAATCACAGTTCTTTTGAACAAAAATTGTTGCATTGTAGAAGGTGATATATTGTGATTTTACATTCCAAGAAAGCACAAACAATGCTAGAAATTTTTCCTGAATGCTCTTGACATGTATTGGTATGTGTGCCATGCTTGTACTAGAACGGATTACTTTGAGATTGGTACATTTAACATTGCTTGAACAGGGGTGCTTTACCACTGAACTGTATCCTTAGCCCTTTTAATTGTTTTATTTAAGACAGGGTTTTGATTGCTTAGGGCATCACTAATTTGTTGAGGCTGGCCTCAAATTTGTGATCCTCATGCCTCGTCTTACTGACTTGCTGGGATTACAGGCATGTGCCACCATGCTCAGCTATGGCAGGATATTTTGGGAGAAATACTTGGCTTTTCATACCACCATCTAATAATGGATTTTGGCTGCTGCCTTTAAGAGAGTAGTTTCCAAGGTTACCACTTTTTAAACTCAGTTACAATATGGGGTTTCCCAGTCTTTGTTCTCTCTCTCTGATATTCTGCTATAGTACCCCCTTTGGCTTTTAAATTTTTCTTTGGAGATATATCCATGCAGTTTTGAAAATGAGAATAATATCTAAGTAAAACCAAAAGGATAATAATTTGAGTGGATTTCTGACAACTGAGATGTTTAAATGCTTTTTGTTTTATTGTTTTGTTTTATATTCCTTTGTACAGTTGTGTATCAATTGAACATATCAATAACGATGCATCCCTGATTATTTTCCTTTTTTAAAATACATGACAATAGTGGAATGCATTACACTCATTATTACTCATATACAGCACAATTTTTCATAACTCTGTATATAAAGTATGTTCACACCAAATTATGCCATTATACGTGTACTCCTTTTTTTGCATTACAATTCTTAATACACATATATTCCACAATTTTTCATAACTCTGTTTGTATGTAAGGTATGTTGACAACAAATTCAAATCTTCATACATGTATTTTGTATATGATGACCATCACATTCCACCATCCTTGCTAATCCCCAGAGGTTATACAAAAAAAACTGATTATTTTCAAAGACAGAAATATTTAGAGGCAGGAATATTTTTCTTAGAGAACTCTGTAGAAAAAATAATGGTAAATCTGTACGGAAGAAACCTTAACTTATTCTGAGATTAAAATAATGGCTTTAACATTGGGAGAAATATGCATATATAAACTGTTCAGAAGGTAATAGTATACTGAAGGAGATTTCAGCATATGAAAAGTTTCAAATCCTTTTTTATAGGAAGAAATTGGCGTTTGACTGAAAAATCTTAGTTGTGTAGTGATTTTTCAATTAGAGAAGCTTAATTTAATAGAAAAGTTTTGAATGAAATTTAAGCATTTTAGTATCACCTACATACTTTGTAATATGATTTAATTTTCAACAAAAACATGAAAAATATTAGTACCATCTCACTATTTTCACTAGTTCAGAAAGTAGTATATGTGTTGTGGAATTATAGGTGGATAGGTAAAGGTGTTTATATTGATTAAAGTCAATTGTATAATCTAGTCTTACTCAAAATCCCATTGATTTTAAGGCAGTTCTGGTGATTCTTGTGCTAGGGAAGGGGAGAAGGATGATACCTATTCTTGGTTATAAGTTCTCATGGACCTCTAGCAGGTGATTGGTGAAATCAAGACTTAATCTATTTTCCTTCCTTGTATTTAACCAGATAGCAATATTAAGGAGTTCCCTAGCTTCCTCATATCAGACAAAATCAGTATGCCTCATTAAATATGAATTTCAGATAATACTACTAAAATAAATATATCCCAAATGAACATTGTTTATTTGAGACTCAATTTTATTCCATCTCCTACATTTATATTTGCTACATTGGACAACCCTAATTAGGTAAGTATTAAAAAACAACTTCTAAGAAAGAAAAGATTAAAAAAAATACAGTGGAATTCAGGCATAGCATATGTTGGGGGTGGGGTGGAAATTTAGCTTGAAAATGGCAAATAATGCTCAGTTAGTATTAAAACACTTTTTAACTTTTCCATGTTGACATAAA